GATTCACTTTTGCAGCTTGGCTCCGCATCTCCGCCGATGGGGCCCATTTCACGGCGGCGTCCGAGGCCGTCCACAAGCACACAGCGGCGCCAAGGCAGGAAGAGGACACGGCAAGGATCGGTGGTGGGTGGGTAAGAAGATACGCCAAATGGGGTGCGAGGAGCAAATTGTTGCTGACAATATCGAGCAGCCCCCAGCTGAAGCGGAGGTACGTCGTCATCAAGACCATGCCATGCCGTGGAGAGGCGAGGGGAAACTTGCACGCGTACCACGCGAGCAGCTCTAGGGCTCTCTCCACGTCGACCACGGTCAGCAGCAGCCAGATTGCTAGCGAGAAGATCATATCGACTCGGGGCAGCAAAAACGAACCAAGCAGGCCGTAGACGAGGATCCAGGTGTTTGGTGGAAACCCGAGGCCATTATCGAACCAGTAGCCGAGATCGAGGAGACTGTCGTGTTCGTTCGTCAAGAACAAGAGCCAAACATAGCCAACCGCTGCGTATTCGATGGTGAGCTTAAGGTACCCGACCCAGATGAGCGGCCCAGGGAGCAGCAGCAGCAGCACCTTGATCGGCACTTCGGCCGTGCTTTGGAAGAATAGTGGCATCGTTTCCAACTCCCTAGCGCGCATGGAGGCCGCCAGGAGTAGCACTCCCCCGCCCAGAGCGATCACGGCCAGGAAGCACCTGTCGAGCAGGTAAGCGCAGAGACCGTAGTTCACCCAGCACGTCACGCTCGGCATATTTCCCACAAGAATGAGTGTCGCAGCGACGCCGAGGGCGAACTCCTTCTCGCTAGCGAGGCCGACGGAGAGCCAGATGGCGTGCTGCAGCCAGCGGGACGCGCTGGTGAAGCGCGTGCGGGGGGAGTAGACCCAGCGGTTGCTGTCCCTAGGCGGCGCCGCCAGGGCCTGCACCGCCGCGCGAGCCAGCTCTGCCAGCTCGGGATCGGAGAGGCGCTCCCCCATCATACCGAGCTCCCGAGCTGAGGAGAGCGAGGTGGTGACAGAACCAAGTGGTGTGGCGGGGGGGTGGTGTAGCAGGTCGATGATGGCTCCTATCGGATCTCTACGCGATCGGATCGCTTCCGGTACTTTTGGGTTTGCCTGGATGCACCGAAACGTGGGCATCAACATCGGGTTGGCCATCGCATGCACGAGCGAGTATACTTGTACATCAGTGGCCATTTTTTCTTTGCTGCCGTGACCAACACCACGCCTCGGGTCGACGAGCGAGAGCATTAGCCGCTGCAGCACGACCGTACTGGGCGCCGCAGCCAACGCATGGCGAAAGTTCAGCACGAACGGCAGGTCCCAGTCGAACTGCCAGCCCCAGCAAGTCAAGGTGTACGACACTTGATCGAGCAGCGTCTCGGCGTCGGAAGCGGTCGTCTCGTTTGTCGTGTCGGATCCGCATCGACGACGCAAGGCTCTGTAGCACCAACGCACGACGAAGACGACGGCGGCAATCAAGTCCAAGAGGATGCAACCCGCCACGCCCGCGGTGTTGAAGAAGAACACGTGCACCAGCGCCATGAAGCAGAAGGATCGGGTGTAGACGGACGGCAACTCCGAGACATCCTGCCGTAGGAACAGCTCTGGGAGGTAGCTGGCGGTCGAAGTCTTGTACTGGTGCTGCCAGGCCAAAGTGGACTGGCACAGCGCGGCTTCGTGCGTCTTGCCGCTGCGGTCGCTCTCGTGCACGTACAACCTTCGCGGCAGGCAGGTGCGGGAGTAGAAGCTGGCCAGCGTCAAGAGCCACAGCCAGGTAGTCGCTGCGCTGGGGTAGGCCCAGACGGCAAAGTACGACAGCGCATCCTCCTCCTCCTCCGCGTCGAGGTCGTCGGGCCTCTGAGCTGCCACCGCCCGCTGGACTGACTCCCAAAAGGCCTGCTGGTTTGGCAAAGGCTGCGCGCCAATATTCTGCTCGCACAGCGCCTCGAAGTCTTGCTTCTCCAGACACCCATGGCACCGAAGGCCGCGCGTCGCGAGCCAGTTTCGTAAGGCGCCGAGGCCCAGCGTGCGGCAATCGTCGACGCCGTCGAGCTCGGCATTCACCTCATTCGCGTTGTTCTCCGCATCTCTGAGCGCCTTTGTCACCGCAGAGTGGCCGTACTTGTTCATCGCCCGCTTCACCGCTCGCGGCACCGACGGAGCGGTGGAGAAGATGACAGCGAGATCGTCAGCGAGATGTGCGTCGCTGTAGATGACAGACAGTCGCTCACTCGCCGCGTGCTCCGCCAGCGCAGCTCGCAGCCCGTCGAGTTGATGAAATGGAGCGTCGGGCCACGACGTCCGCCATTCGATGAGCTGCCATGAGAAGCTGGGAGTCACGAGCACCGCCCAAATCAGGAGCCACATCGCGGCTCTTGGGCCTGAGCTTTTGGCGCCGCGCCGCGCCCGAGGCAGAGAAGAAAAAATGGTGTTCGCCTCCTTACACAGCGTCTCTGCGTGGACTAGTGGCAAGCTGACCCACCAAGAGTGCCGTGCGTGCGCGAACCATGTGATGTCTCGTCGGGCAGTGCCCGATCAGAGGACAGTGAATCTGGACAGTGCTCATATGCATATCAAGCACGGCACCTACGCTGGGGTGCGGCGCGTTTTGACTTTAGCTTCACGGTGGTGTGGTAGATGTGATAATCGGTTCTAGTCAATAAATCAAAAGAACCATCAGAATCACTTTCTGATTCCTGGAAGGCGTGACTCCCGCCAGCAGCGGCGGGCTCGCCACAACAACTCCTTCGGAGCAATGAACGCGCCCCATGCGCACGGTCTACGCATACGCCACCGCCTCAACATCACCATCAGGCCCGCAGCGCAGGCAGCCTCCCCTATCGCGCCCATCGCGCGTGGCTTCTACTTCAAGGAACAAGGACCGGGTGCCCACCGGATTCGCAACCCCATTGTGAACGGCACACACCTCCGTGCGGCGCCGCCCCGTGTGCCGGGCCAAATGACGGCGTCGGGGAACGGCACGCTCCCCCGCAACGCGCCTCTTGCGTATCCTGCGGCCATGGAGGAGTTTGCAAAGTACCGCGCCGCCATCGACGCCAAAATAATGTCGCGGCCTCGGCGTGGGAAGGTGTGCTGCTTCAAGCTCCAGTCTGCAATTTCCTTCGATTGGCCTGACCCACTGCCCGCCTTCGACCGTCTTGCCTCCATGTCCCCCGACAGGCGCGCCGCCGCCGGGTGGCGGTGGGACCCCTCCCCTGCCCCTGGCACTGCCACGAACAAAACCTGTACCCCCCCCCCTCTATCTCTCTCGCAGGCGAGAGGGAAGCACAACTCAAGTTATGGGCTTGCCCATCCCGGAGTGGTTCGAACCCACACAAACCCGGAAGGTGATGGACGCGTCGTGTGGTGATCTCAGGCCCAGTGAGGTAGTGCGCCTGACCACTCCTGATCATGCTGACCAAGCTCCTTCTTGTAGCTCGATCGGTCACACCGCCATCGCCGTCGGGGAGAGAGGGGACGACACTGCTTCGGCAGCGTGCACCTCGATCCTGTACCGTATTTGTTATGACCCCCCCAATGAACACACCAGTGAGGGAGGGCGAGACGATCGAGGGGTCCCGTACCATGCGGAATCGACCCTATCAAGTGCTCAAGTGCTCAACAACGAGCTGCCGTGGAGCGTGGTGGAATAAGGTGCTTCTGCGGATGAAGCGCGACGCGATGCTTACCAAAAAGGCATGGCGGAGGCGGAGGCCGCCGCAGCCGCGCTCACAGCGCTCGGCGTCGCTCCGTAGGAGGACGTGACCGTCCATACGGTGAACGAGCTAGCGTGCGGGGAGAGCGGCATTGTCCACGGTGCGGAGTGCATTGCCGTTCTTAACGGAGTCGCGCTTAGGCGGCTCCGGTGGTGAGCTGAGCCCTGGCTGTCAGGCTGTCAGGTGCTGTCAGGTGATCTGTCAGGCTGTCAGGCACTGTCAGGCACTGTCAGGTGCCTCTGTCAGACCAGCTGTCAGGTGCTGTCAGTGCTGTCGGGTGCTGTCGGGTGCTTGTCTGACATCAGAGGGGCTCCGTAGCTGTCGGGTGCTGTCGGAGCTGTCGGGTGTTGCTGTCAGACGCTGTCGGAGCTGTCAGAGCTGTCGGGCTGCTGCTGCTGTCAGACGTTGGGCTGTTGCTGTCAGGTGCTGTCAGGTGGTGCTGTCGGGGTGCTGTCAGGCTCTGACACACACCAGCCACACTTATGACACTATCAAGAGGAGACCAGCAGGACTCTACTACACATACTCTGAGCCTCTCCTCCTTCACGGCGTGATCACGCCGGCGGCGGCGGCCGCCTGGGGAGCGCAGATGGCGGCGCAGGCGCAGGCGGCGGCGGCGGCAGCGCGGCACAGACGGCGGCGGCCACCCCCACCCAGACGCCGTAGGCATATGACTGTAGGGCCCCAGAAGGCTAGCTGGTAGCTTCATTTGTAGTAGCACAGCCGCCGGTGCTAGAGAGAGAGGTCCGCAGAGGTGGGGCGGGAGGGTTGAGAGAGAGACCCATGACCATCCCATGACTGCATGGACCACACTCACATATACATGTGTATGTCTTTGCATGTTTTGTTATACCCTCATGGGGCGCAAGAAAGAGGCTGCACGGCTGTGTACGGTCTGTGCTGCTGTCGGGCTGTCAGCGCTGCTGTCAGGCCACTGTGTGCTGTCGGGCTGTCAGGCAGCTAGCTGTCAGGCTGTCACGTTAGGGTCTGACAGCGACGGAGCCCCTCTGATGTCAGACTCTGCTGTCAGGCTGTCAGATACGTGCTGTCAGACTGTCAGAGAAAGTGCTGTCAACGCTGTCAGGCTGTCGGGCCCACTGTCAGGCGCTGTCCGGGTTTGCTGTCAGGCTGTCAGACCAGGGCTCAGGTGGTGAGCCGGTGTGTGTGCCAGTCCGCGCCAGTCCGCGCCCTTGCTTGTCGTGCCGTGTGGTGTGAGCACAGCCGGGGAGTAAGAAATCGCGGGAATAGGATTGGCACACCCGTCGGCTACAACTCTTTCTGGACGGCATGAGCGCCATCCTCCCAACCCGCCTCGTCACCACTGTGCTGCTCCGCTGTCAATCCGCCCGATTATCTACGTCAACACAGCCCTTGCGAATCGCCCTGCTTCTCGGCAGCACACGCACCGAGGGTCCTCCCAAGCCGGCCAACGTCGGTGCCCGTGTCGGTGCGTTTGCGGCGGCTGCACTGACCGGCCTCGGCCACACCGTCGACACGGTGGACCCGATCGTGGAGGAGCTTCCGCTTTTGGTCCGCGCGTGCCATGCATCATGCAGAAGCGACACGCTTGCCCACCCGCCCGATCCTCACGCCAGTCGCACACCGCTGCACGCTCAACCCATCACCGGCTTCTCCCCACGGCCAGGTGAAGCCGCAGTTCGCGTACGCGGCGGGCAAGGCGCCCCCCTCGCTCGACGCGCTGTACGACCGCCTCCTCGCCGCCGACGCCTATGTCATGGTGACGCCCGAGTACAACCACGCGCCCTCACCCGCCCTCGTCAACATCCTCAACCACTTCGGTCGCCGCCACACGCTGCCTGGCTCCCGTTCAAGACACGCACATATTACATGCACAGCATTGTCCGACACGAACGCGTCCGACCCCCGCAGGGTCGTCCGTCTTCTCCTTCAAGCCCTCCGCCATCGTCTCGTACTCGCAGGGCCAGTGGGGAGGCTGCCGCGCCGCAGTCGGGCTGCGCCCCATCCTGAGCGAGCTCGGCGAGATGCAGCCGAGATGCAGCCGAGATGCCGAGACGAAGCCGAGACGCCGAGACGAAGCCGAGACGCCGAGACGAAGCCGGGATCGGGCCGAGATCGAGCCGAGGTCGAGCCGAGATTGGGGTGGAGCCGGGCTGCAGATGGCTACCTCTCGCCCTCACCAGCCCTGGCCCACACGCCTCCTCCAGGCTGCCTTCCAGTCTCCGCGATGGTGCACGTGCCGCGGGCGCACCAGGTGCCGACCATCCTCACCCACACACCCGCCTGCCCGCCCGCCTTCGCCGCACCTCCCGCCGAGGTCTGTCAGCGGACGGCGCGGCCCGTGTTCCCCCGGGCAGGTGCTCGACGAGACGGGGACCCCGACGGGCGGGGCAAAGGAGGCGGAGCGGTGGCACGGGCGAGCGACCCCGCCCGTACTCTCCACCTCGCATACACCTCGGTTGTACCTGCACCTCGGCTGCACCTCGGCTGCACCTCGGCTGCACCTCGGCTGCACCTCGGCTGCACCTCGGCTGCACCTCGGCTGCGCCTCGGCGCGGCTAGTTGGCTCGTAGGAACCCACCAGACAGACACGGCCGCGATCTGGCCGAGGAGTCGCCGAGGATTAGCCGAGGGGACGTTGGTAGGTACGCGCACCGCACGTGGTCGCAGCTTCAGTGGTGGGGGACTGCCGCAAAGCTGCACAAGCAGAGTAACGACCCCTTCGCTGCGTCGCCCGCCTTCCTGTCCGATCCGGCGCAGAGGAACGCCGCCGCGTGACCGGCGGGGGAGGAATGGGCCCGGTGGGGTGGGGCAGGCGCGTTGCGAGAGAGGGCCTGAGTTGGCAAGTTGCTACTTGAAGATTATCGCGGAAGAAAACATTTACTACATGCTCGGCTCTGTAATCTATGCGCACAGACACGTCGCCGCCAACCCGCCTCCTCGACCTCCCCACGGAGCTTCTCGAGCGCGCCTTCTCTCGCTGCGACAGCCCCTTCGACATCGCTCGCGTCGAGGCCGTCTCGCTTCTCTTCCACGCCTCGCTCGCGGAGGAGGGCCTCCGCTTGTGGGCGCGAGAGCGCGGCTTCGAGCTGCCGGCGCAGCCGGAGGACGAGAGCTGCACCGTGCGGTGGCTGTGCTTCGCTGCGCTCCTGTGCGAGGCTAACCCGCCGGCGAGGGCGGCGGCAGGCGATCGGCACAGCCTCTTCATCGACGGCGAGGGGCGGCTCTCGTCGTGCGGCTGCGCCGCTAGCTGGGCCACCCCAGGCCTCCTTGGACACGGCGAGGGCGTGACGCGGCTCAATACGCCGACGCGCCTCCCCTCTTCGCTGGGCGACGAGCGCGCCGTGAGCGTTTCGGTTGGAGGATACCACAGCCTCGCCCTCACCGCCGGCGGCGCCGTCTGGAGCTGGGGCTCGGGGAGAGCCGGCCGGCTTGGCCACGGCGACGAGCAGAGCCAGTGGCAGCCGAAGAAGGTCGAGGCCTTGGCTGGCCAGCGCGTCCTCACCTTATCGGCTGGAGGGGCTCACAGCCTCGCCGCCACCGCCGACGGCACCGTCTGGAGCTGGGGCGGTGGGGACTGGGGCAAGCTGGGCCACGGCGACACCCAGAGCCAGCTGCTGCCGAAGAAGGTGGAGGCGTTGGCTGGCCAGCGCGTCGTCGCCGTATCGGCTGGGTTGCAGCATAGCCTCGCCCTCACCGCCGACGGCGCTGTCTGGAGCTGGGGCTGGGGAGGCTTTGGCGAGCTGGGCCACGGCGACGATCAGCAGCTGCTGCTGCCAAAGAAGATCGTGGCATTGGCTAGCCAGCGCGTCGTAGCTGTCTGGGCTGGATGGTTCCATAGCCTCGCCATCACCGCCGACGGCGCTGTCTGGAGCTGGGGCGATGGAGGGGAATGCCGGTTGGGCCACGGCGACGAGCAGGACCAGTGGCAGCCGAAGAAGGTCGACGCCTTGGCTGGCCAGCGCGTCATCGCTGTGTCTGCTGGGGCTCGCCACAGCATCGCCCTCACTGTCGAAGGCACTGCCTGGAGCTGGGGCAGTGGAGATGATGGCCAGCTGGGCCACGGCGACGAGAAGATCGACCGGCTGTTGCCGAAGAAGATCGAGGCCTTTGCTGGCCGGCGCGTCGTCGCTGTCTCGGCTGGAATGGCGCACGGCCTCGTCCTCTCCGCCGACGGCGCTGTCTTTACCTGGGGCGAGGGCCGCCACGGCTGCCTAGGCCACGGAGAGGACCTGTCGAAGCAGCTGCTACCCAAGAAGATCGAGGTGTGGGCGCCGGGGCAGTGATGAGATGACGGGTCTCGTGCGCAAAGGCGAACACACAGGCTGTCACACACGCCACGAGAACGGTCGAGCGAGACCGGCCCGCCGATTTTTTCTACATTTTAGCGACTGCTCCCTTAAAAAGCCGTAATTTACTCCAGAGAGCGAGGCTATCTTTCCGTGCGCATGGTCCATGGAGGAGTAATAGGGGTGAGGGTGAGAGCTGAGACCGATCGGCTGTCGCTCCGGTCTTGTGAGATGAGTGATCAGTCGTACCTCCGGTCTCGCAGCGCCTCCTTCGCCTTGCTGCGCGACTCCTCCGACTTTTCGCGGTCGCCGAGCCAGTACGCGAGCACAGCGTCGCCCGTCAGCGGGCCGGTGGTGCACCGCTCGGCGCGCTGCCCGCGCGGCTTTGGCACGTCTCGCAAGTGCGCCTACCAGAAGGGAGTCGCGGGGGCGGGTCAGAGGCGGCACTCTCTCCGCCCCCTGCTCTGCCCCTCAAGAGCCGGCGCGCCAGCTCTGGGCCGTCCAGCGCGTCGGGCGCCCCGGGCGTCACGGGCCGGGAGATCAGGGGCCGCTTCATGTGCGCGGGAGGGATCTCGGTCTGGTTCTTGCCTAGAGGGGGGTGGGGGGAGCTCGGGCTCAGAAAGGGGGGGGGGGGGGATCCACGTCCGGCTCTTGCCGAACTGTTCACGTCGGCGAGACCCCGCCGCCAAACGGCGAGGCGCAGCTTGGCGCGTCTCGGCACATCTCGACTAGTCTTTGCCAAACTTGACGTCGGTGAACCCGCCGCCAAACGGCGAAGCACGCCAACGGCCGCGCAGCTCGTAGGTCGGCCTGCCGGACGTGTGTCGCGGACGTGTCGCGGACGTGTCGTGGGCGTGTCCTCTGCAGCAGCTCCTCGGCTGGGCCTGCCCTCGTCGCGCTCGAGCACCTGTTCACAGCGGAGGCTGTGAGAGAGCGTGAGCCATCGGCCGGCCTCGTTTTGTGGTTGGCTCGAGCGCCCAGATCTCGCAGTTGGAAGGGTTCCAGACCTGCTCCAGACATGGCCCGAGGAGGTCTGGCCGAGGTCTAGCCGAGGTCTAGCCGAGGTCTAGCCGAAATCGGCCGAGGCCTGGCCGAGGTCTGGCAGCTGGTCGGGTGGCGCACCTGCTCGAACTCGGTGACCGTCCAGCGCAGGTAGCACCTATGGTTTCAGTTGTGTGCCGATGACTACCTAAGGCTCAGATTGCTCGACGGCCCTCCAGCGTAAGGCTGCACATGCAAAAGATGCGCATCAGCAGCCCGTGTGTCACCAGCACGTAGTTCTGCGGAGGCGGCGCCGCCGGCTCGTGCGCCGCCCTGCCGTCGTCGAAGTAGTCTCGCTCGGTCATTGTGCGGAAGAGGTAGGTGATGAAGGAGGCCATCCGGTCAAACACGTCCGTGCCTGCGGGAAGGGCACCAAGGCGGCTCGGAAGAGGCTCTAGGCCTGCCATCCAAATGCGGAAGGCAATCCGCGCCTGCCTCGCCGTCGGGGAAGCGGTAGTAGAAGCGGCCAAACACCTGGCGGCAGTGTCGTCCGCGGAGTTGGCTTGTGTGTTTGTGCTCGAAAAGGCCGATCGGGGTTCGACCGTCGCTCTCCCTCGCTCTCCCTCGCTCTCCCTCGCTCTCGCTCTCGCTCTGCCTCTCGCTCTCGCTCTCGCTCTCGCTCTCGCTCTCGCTCTCGCTCTCGCTCCCGCTCGCTCCCGCTCCCGTTCCCGCTCCTCTCCAAACACCTGCCGCTCCGCGAGGACGCGGCTCATCTGCGCGTCGTCCTGGAAGTTTCCGAAGTCCTGCCGGACGGAAGGGAGGGGCAGGCGGCAGGCGTGGAGAGGCGAGGTGTGCTGTGGGTGGTAGCCGGCAGGGAAGAGATCAGGCGAGGAGCCGTCTCGAAGCGGTCTCTCGGGGCAGCCTCGGGCGCTCTCGGAGCAGTCTCGGCACGGTCTTGCCTGCTCGCGCAGCCGCGGCTCGGAGGAGAGCTGGACAGTCTGCGAGTCGAAGGCCTGTGAGGTGGCGACGACAGAGGTGAAAGAGGTGAGAGGGTGAGAGAGGAGAGAGGGGTGAGGGAGGTGAGAGGTGGGGTGTGTGTGAGGCGTGGTAGGCTGTGGGAGGCGTCACCTGCAGCAGCGCCAGCAGGGTCTGCCGCGCGCGCAAATACGGCGAGTAGAAGCAGCGGATCGACTCGTTCTTGACGAGCTCCCGGATCTGCAGCCCCGCCACCACGCCCTGCGCCCACCCCACCTCGGTCAGCGCAATCTGGGAGTCGGGTGTGCTCTGGTACGCAGTCCGGTTGACGTTGCCCTCCGATTGGCCGTGCCGCACGAGGATGATGCGCTTCGGCCGCCGCAGCTTGCCCTCGCGCCGCGCACGCAGCCGCACCTCGAGCTGGTCCGCCAGCCAGTCGAGCGGGTCGAGCAGCTGCGGCGGCGGAGAGCGGAGCCGCCGCCTTGGTGGCGCTGCGGCAGCGGCGAGCGGCCTGAGCGTGCTGCTGCCAAAACTCAAGCCTGGCATCGGCCGCAGGCCCGCCGCCACGGCAAACGTCGCGGCAAGCACGCATCGTATCGCGCTCCGCGCCGGCATGCCTCCCTGATCGGAGGCTGATGCTGCAGCGGTATTCTAGCTCAGGCTGCGGTTGGCCGAAGGGTCAGGCCCGGCGGAGCTGTGAGCCAGCATGAGGCAAAGGGCTGAAGCTCCTGGAGAGATCGCGGGGGGTTGGGGGGGGCCCGTCGTCAAGCTGTTTTGGGGTAGGGACTAGAGGACCCCTGCGCGGGCCCCGCCCCCCCCTCGCTGGGGGCGGGGCCCTTGCGAAGGAGAAGAGGCCAAAATTGTACAGCAGCAGACGACGGACAACGAAGCAGTCGTCTGGGGAACGAGAGGAAGCCGGGGAAGACGACTCCGACCGAGGAGGACGAAACACCAGTGGTAATCCCGCCGTCAGCTGTCACGATATACCCTTAAGTGAACCCCAGTGCCAACACCGACCGTTGAGGTTCAAGTGCTCGAAACGAGAGTGGACCTGAGCAACGACATGACTTGGAGCATGGAGGCAAATGATCGGAGTGGGAGTCAGAAATGTGGTCCTTGCGCGAGGGGGAGCTCGATAAACTCGAGGGGCCAAATTATGCCGCGAGGAGGGCGGAGTTACGCAGAGAGGCGAGAGAAGCAGCGAGAGCAAGGGATCGGCAGACGGCAGCGGCGTTTCAGAACGAGGCCGAGGAGAGCGATGAGTCAGAGGATGAAACAGCAGGAGAGAGAACGAGGACGAGAGTGGGAAGAACGAGAGGTGGCATGAAGGTCGCTGCGAGAATTGGTGAGAAACTGCGAAGAGAGAGATAGGAAGTGGTAGACGCCCGAGGGTGGGCGACGGCTAGCACCACACACTCCTCTCCTTAAAATCCCTGTGTGGTGGCGGCGTGCCGTCCTCCCATCCCTCCCTTGGGTTGTCTGTTTTCTTTCTTTCTTTCTTTTTCTACCCTCCCTTGGGTTATCTTTTTCTTTTTTGTGGTTCTGTGTGTCGCTCCTGTGTGACCGCCACCGTGTACCGCCCATCTTGCGTCCACCCATCCGCGCTGTTCACCTTTGAACATACGGCTTTAGAGAGAGAGAGAGGAATTCTGGATGGGAGAGAGCCATTGTTTGTTTGTTTTCTGGATGGGTGCCTGCTCACGAATCCGACAACAAACTGTTTGGTATTGAAGGGATGACGTGTGAGTGTTAGAGTTGTTTGTTTGGTATTGCTAAAAATCTCTCTCTCTCTCTCTCTCGAATCCGACCGTAAATGCTCCCGACTAGGCGCAAGGCTTGCTGTTCACGCACGCCCACCGGACCAAGTGTTCACACGGATTCGGGAAATAAGATTACCAAAGGACGCTCACTATGCTGAGAAGCCGTTCAACACACCTTAGGTAATTGCGCGGAATCGAAAACTTTCTGCCGCCGTGGGCAACCTTCCTTAGATCCGAAATACGGAGTTCGAGTCCATGGCTGCTGGCTTGACTTTTGCTACGCTTCTCTCGGGTGCCGCTCGCCACTGCTCACCACCATGCCACACACCTCTGCCCGCGACTTCTCCTCTCAACCCTCAGGTCTCCTCGCTCCGAACCGCATGGCAAACCTCAAGCAGGCCACGACAAACGCAGTTAAGCGCTCGGCGGCAGTTCGCCGCCACGGCAACGTGCAGCTGTCCGGCGAGTGGGTGCTCGACACTACAAAGTCGTCGCACGGAGCGCTTCGCCCGTTTCTTATCGCGTGCGGGGCGCCTCGCGTCTTTGCCGGTGGGACCTCTCACCCGGCTCCGCCCACCACCACTCATCGGCGTCGTAGGGCCCAGTCAAATTCACTAACCGCGTCGTCCCCACTCGCTCGACGGCAGGCCCGCTCGCGCGCAAGTTCGACAGCGATCATCTCGTGCTCAAGGCGGAGGGCGACGAGGTCACCATCGAGACGCCGCGCTCGGGGTGGAGCCTGCCGATCAAGCTCCAGACCGACGCGACCTATTCCCGCCACAAGGAGACCATCGTCGCCACGCCGCGCGGACCCCAGCGCGCATCGCTGGTGACGGCGTCGCATGCCCCGATGGCGGTCGAGATCATCAAGCTCGGGCCCTCGGAGGGAGAGTTCGTCACCGAGCACTATGTCACCACGGACGATGGAAATCTCGAGCAGCAGCTGACACACCGCGCTGCCGACGGGAGGACCGAGGTGGTTGTGCGCCGCGTCTTCAAGCGCGTGGCGTCCGTCTGACGCCCGCAGCCGGCAACCCCGTCCATATGAGCCGGTGGGAAGCCTGTCTGTCGCTCGGGGCCTACGAGCACTGGGCAGCAGACTCCACTGCTGGCGCTGGCGCACCTTCTACTATGTGCCACCCGCCACTGCTCAAAGTGTTGACATGCTCTCCTCATTAGTCTGACAGTAGTACGTGCGATCTTGTCGATCAGGTTGGTTGTTGAGATGTGTACATGACGTGGAGTAATGTGAGGCGTGTGTATAGTCTGATGAGAAGTATTACGTGGCTTTCTTTCTTTTGCCTGCTGTGAGAAAAGAATTTAACAAAGACAGAAAGAAACAAAACACACAACCCAAGGGAGGGATGGTGAGGTGTGTGTCTGAGTCTGTCTGTCTATCACACACACACACACACACACACACACACACACACACACACAAACAAACACACACACACACACAAACACACACACACACACACACACACACACACACACACACACACACACACACACACACACACAGGCACAAAGCCGCAGCTGTGAGCGCTGTCAGCGGTGTTTCGACACCGATATCGTTCAAGGAGAACGCTGTTCAAAATCCGCTGTTTACACTTCACAGGTAAGTGTAAGCGGAGCAGCTGAGTAGATACAGCGAATCCTTAGTGTTCACACCTGCAAGAGCAGGTGTGAACCGATTTCGGCCTTAGCCGTCTGTATGCCGAAAGCGTGCTATCCAAGTAGTACGCAGTTGGATTCCGAGGGTGTCCCATCACAAGTTCGGCTGCCGACAGACAATAAATAAATAAATAAAACGGGCACGCCAAACGGGGGGTGGGAGAAGGACAGGGTCCCCACCTGCACGAGCAGGATCTTGTAAGGACGATCCCGTACCATGCGGAACCGACCCTATCCAGTGCTCAAGTGCTCAAGGACGATCAGGGACACAGGGGAACGGGAGCGGGGAGCGCATCGCGACACGGAGGGGGGCTGGGCAGGGTTCACCCACACGACAGGGTCCCAGGGATTCCTCTCTCGTATAGGACAGGTTGCAACACAAGATCATCACTAGATCTATTGCTACTGAAAAACTCTTTTTCGCGTCCGCCTCCTTTCGGCCCCGTGCTCACCAGCAGCCCCATGCTCACCACCACCACCACTCGCAGTGGCTCTCGCGGCCTCCTGCGGCCTGCTGCCTGCTGCCTCGGTGCGCTCGCGCTCGGCGCGCTTGCGCTCGTTTATGCCGCTCCGGCCGAGGCACCGTCCCTCTTCTCGCGGCTCAAGGACCGGATGAAGGAGCGGTATGATGCAAATCACATCCTCGACGAGCGTGCTCCGGGCATGACGTGCCGCGACCCGGACGGTCCGCTGATGAGTGGCATCAATTCTGCCGTCGAGTGGGCGGTCGCCAAGGTGCCCGAGTCGCGCCTCCACTCGCTGCCGGTCGAGGCCAAGCTGCGGGTTGGGCTGGTGAGGCCAGAGACTCCTGGCGACGCGCACCGCTCCTCTCGCGACGCATTCTGACCCGCCGCAGGTGACGACGACGATATCGGGCATCACGATCGACGCGCTGGCGGTGGAGGCGATCCGTATGCGCTCGTGCAGAAAGGAGAAGAGCGGGTGGCTGCCCAACGTGCTGCCCGACCGTGTCATCCTCTCGGTGAGCGGCGTCAAGGTCACCACCGGCCTGCACCTCGACTCGTCCGGCATCTGCGGCCTGTGGTGCGTCGGCGGCGTGGCGGGCAACGCGACGGCGTCCGTGACCGGCACGCTCAACCTGACGGTGTCGTACGAGAAGGCCAACCTGACCGAGGTCACCGACTGCACGGGCGACTTCCACGTCGGCAAGACGGAGTTTGTGGGCGAGAAGCGCGACGTCGCCATCCCGGAGCCGCCCGTGGGGCTGCCGATATCGCGCATCATCTGCTACGGCAGCAAGCCGCCGGGCGCGCTGATGGATGCGCTGGTGGACGTCGACGTGACCAACACGAAGACGGGCAAGCAGATGGGGGGCGGGCCGCCCTTCGCCGGCCTCGTGCCGCTCCTCAACCAAAAGTTCGCCGAGGTTGCGCCGCGCTTCCGCCAGGCCAAGGCCAGCATGCAGGCGAGGCAGGAGGCGCGCAGGGCAAAGTGGGGCTGACCGGCGCTATGCGCCCTCCCCAGCCTCCACGGGAACGCACACTCAGCTACAGTCCATGAGCCATGACACTAGTCCCTCGCCAGTCATGATTCTCGCGTGTGAGTGAGTGTGCATGTGAACGCTTCAAAAAACCAAAAAAAACGCCCCACGTACCTAGATACCGCGACGAGAAACCTTGGTGCCGCCCGCGTGGTTGCACCATGCTCATACATGCCGCCTTGGCCGTACTCATCGTGCCGTCCAGCATGGCCGAGGACAGCATTATCGACCGGTTTAGGCGATATTTCGGCGCCTCCTCGCCTAGCGGATCTGCTCCCGACGCACTGCAGCGCCTGACCGGCGCCTCCCGGCCTCGCAACGCCTCACTGCAGAGGCAGCGGCCGACCGGCGCCTCCCGGCATCTCGGCGCTGCACCCGGCGCCTCTCTGCATCGCAGCGCCTTAAAAACCTCGCGCCCTCGCAGCTCGGCTCCCGGCGCCTCCGCCGCCGCCGCCCGCGCCGCCACCTCCGCCCGCTCCGCCGCCGCCGCCCGTGCTCGTTCCCATTACACGGCTAGCCATCGGCCAGCGCCACGCAGGGTAGGCGCCGGTGTTCAAGTCCGAGTGTCGCCGGAAGCCGGATCAAAGAACTGCTCGGTCTACTGCCGAACTCCGTGGCGGGCACCGCACGGCTACCCTGGGGTGGCGAAACGCGGCGGCGAGGGCCAGCTGCTCTGCCCGTCCATGTTTCGGGACATGTGCGACTATGTCTACGACTGGCCCTACGACCACTTCAAGGAGGTCGTCTTCCTTCCGGGGTTCGCAGACGTGGTGGCGTGCCTGCCGGCGGTCCCATTCATCTACGCGCAGCCGGGCCCGCCGACGGAGCGGTTCGCAAAGTACATGCTCCCGCTGCTGGAGCGGGCGGGCAAGAAGTTCGTCTTCGTCACCGGCCAGTCGGCGTACGGCGTCCCTCTCAAGCCCGGAGGCGTGCGGCAGATTCTGGCGTCGCCCGCCCTGATCCGCTGGTTCGGCCAGTACCCGAACGCCGAGCACGCCAAGTTTGAGCCCTTGCCGGTGGGGCTGAACTGCTTTGAGCACGCGCCGGAGCTGTTCCGAACCCTGCAGCAGATTGGCACCTACAAGCAGCTGGTCTCTCCCGAGCACAAGTCGTCGCTGCTGATGGTCAACTTCTCGCCCAAGACGAACCCGATCCGGAAGAAGCTCATCGACAAGTACTGCCACGGGGGCGGGTTCGCCCACTGCTTCCCAAAGGGCCAGAATAACAACATTCAGGGCAACCCGCACCTGGTTGCCTTCTACAACAACGCCTCGAAGTTCAAGTACGCGCTCTGCCCTCCGGGGCAGGGCATGGACAGCCATCGGACGTGGGAGATGCTGCTGCTGGGGGTGGTGCCAATCGTAGAGCACTCGAGGCACCGCGCCTCCTCTCGTGGAGGCGCCCACCGACCGACGGCGTCTCTTCACGCCCCCCGCTGCGAATAGGATGGACTTCATGTGGGACTCTGGCGACCTGCCGGTGCTGGCCGTGCGAGACTTGCTGAAGCTGCCGTCGAAGGCAGAGCTCGAGGCGCTGTACGACGAGAAGTTCGGCTCGAAGATGGCGCTGTTCAAGCGCGCGCGCCTCGGCCGGCAGTTCTGGCTGGACAAGTTTGAGTCCTTTCGCCGTGGACACCTCGCCGGCGGGGCGGGTGCCGCAGGCGAGGCGAGGAGGCGGTGCTGGCACGGCAAGCCGCACTGGACGCGGGACGAGGCCCAGAGCTATTGTGCAAACAACGGCACCAAGCACAGCCCAGGGCAGAAGTGTCACTGGTCAGGGCACCAAAGATGAACGCGCTCTCCCTCAACGGACGTTTTCACTGGCCATTTCGAGGGGTTTGATGCATGATAGTAGAGCCGCATGCTGCCGATGAGAGACGCGGCGCGATGGCACGACTTGTATATGTGTGTCTTGAAGAGGACGCATGGGTGGGACGGGCGGTCGGGGAGGGACGCGACGTGTCGGGTGGGCTAAGTCATACCCGGGTTGCGGGTAACAAAAGAGGAATACGATTGGACCGCACAGAGACGAGCGAGTTCGCGCTGCGCCATGCGCCGTCTCCCCGCCCCTGTCGCCTGTGGCAACGAATTTTCGCCGTCGTATGATCACGGCGCAGTTCACCCTTGGGGACCCGCTGTCCAGGGACGACGGCGTGATCTCCCACGGTGGAAACCGGAGGCAGAGGAACGGACGAGCACAACGCAACATGAGCTGGCGCCAATGCCACGCCTCGTTGCGATCGGGGTCGTGGCAGTCGCCTGCTCGCTTCTCTTCTGCGCAGCGCCGCCTCTCGTGGCGGCAAAGGGCTGCATCAAGTCCCTGGCTCAGTGCGAGACCAAGCTGAGCGACAAGGGCGGAACTTCTTGCGGAACTTCTGACCAGCGATATGGCCGCCTTGCCCGAGAAAGGCTGCATCGCACAAGAGCGGCCCTGCGCGCGCCTCTTGCACGCGCCGCCAAGCGAGTCGCATTGCGAGTGAGAGCGCGAGAGCTGTTCTCCTTAGGCAAGAGGCGAGCCGTGCGCTGCTCGCCACTGAGTTTGGCGCGGCGGCGGGGGCCCGCACTGTGGAGCTGCGGCTGCAGCTGCCGGGCTGGGGTGCGCTGAGTAGTAGCGCCGCCGCCGGTGCTGGTCAGACGTCCAAGGGCGGGCCTGCCGTCGTACCCAGGAAATGGCACGCTACGGATCGAGCTCGCGGCGGACAATTTGATGCCAGTCTCGGTGTTGTACTTTCTGAGGCAGGTGGTCGGACTAAATCTCGGACTCTGTCGCCAGCCGCCGCGCCCCTCTCTCTTGGCTTATCACGCCACGCGCTCTCCCACCTCAGGTGCGCTCCGGGCTGTGGACCGGCGCCTCCTTCCACCGCAACGCCGGCCACGTGCTCCAGGCTGAAACCCACTCAAACGAAGTGAGATCCCCCATGAGGTCTCCGCCACTCCGCATCACGCCCACCCGTAGGCCGGCCTCGCGCACAAGGCGGTGCCAGCCGAGCTGCGCGCGAGCGTGCCATTCCAAGAGTACTCGCCGTCGCTGCCGCACGAGAAATTCACCGTCGGGTTCGCAGGGCGGCCAGGCGGGCCGGACTGGTACATTTCAACGGTCGACAACACGCGCAACCACGGGCCGGGGTCGCAGAGCCCCGACGCCGCCCTTTTCGGAGAGGCAGACCCGTGCTTCGGCAAGGTGGTGGCGGGCTTTGACGTCCTTGCGGCGATGCGAGCGATGGCGGTGCGACAGCTTCTGCCCCATACAAAGTTGAGACTGCGAGAGGGTGCGGCAACCGACATCGCCCGCCTTGGGCCATAGGTGCAGCCGGGCGGCTTTGGGATGCTGATGGAACCGGTGAGAATCCTCAGCGCCAGGGTTTTATAGCGAGTGTAGCGGCTTCCCCTACTTGACGAGCCCCGCCGGCCCCTTCGTTCTGTGCTCTCTCTTGTTCGCACGTGCGAGGGAGTTTTGTTGTAGAACTCTCTTTTTCATACCGTACTCAGACTGAGCTCTCACTGTCACTCCTAACGCGCCCTCTAACCGCCCTCTAGCTCTCACTGTCACTCTTAACGCGCGGTTTTCCGCGCTACCCCTGTCTTTGGGGATTAAGACTTTTAAAGTCTTTGTGCTTAGCTGAGTTTTCCCGCGCGTAACAGGAATGTCCGATTTTTTGTGTGGTAAGGGGACCAGCCCACCGACTCCGACTGTCACACATCAAGCCATCAGTTTCTCTTTCAGGGGGGTGGCCTTCCCGTGTGAGGCGCGGTAAAGCTGAAGGGCAGGAGAGGATCGAGGACGAGAGCTTCACGCCAGTCACGTAGCAGTAGATGAGAGCGGTGTCCACTCCTATAGTGCAAAGCAGCATTGCGTGAGAGACGGCGTGGAGCCGAGAGAAGGGTTGGGTTGTGTGTCGACAGCGACACTGCACCGTTTGAGGCAGCTAGAGGGTACGTCTCTCGCCCCCCGAGAAGATCGAGACCACCCGCGAGAACAGAGACCTCCGACGGGGCGGGGTGGCAACGGGAGAGTCCTCCTCGGCGGCCGGAGAGCCGGCCATTTCGCGGTACTGATCGCCGGCCGACTTGCGCGGTATTGTGGATTCGAGCGCCGCCACTGCCGCCGACGCTGTCGCTGCGGCCGCCTCGGCCGCTTTCTCAAGCTTGCGCGACGAGGAGCGCGCGAGGACGCTGTCGACCGCCTTGCCAGCCTCCTCGTCGTCCGCAGCATCCGGGGCGCCGGAAGCTGCGCGATACAAGTCACCGGCCGACTTGCGCGGTATTGTGGATTCGAGCGCCGCCACTGCCGCCGACGCTGTCGCTGCGGCCGCCTCGGCCGCTTTCTCAAGCTTGCGCGACGAGGAGCGCGCGAGGACGCTGTCGACCGCCTTGCCAGCCTCCTCGTCGTCCGCAGCATCCGGGGCGCCGGAAGCTGCGCGATACAAGTCACCGGCCGACTTGCGCGGCACTGCGGCGTCCAGCGCCGCTACCGCCGACGACGCGGTGGCAGCGGCGGCCTCCGCGAGCTGCTCGACCTTGCGCGAGGAGGAGCGCTTCAGGACGCCATCAACGGCGGCACCCGGCCCGTCATCGTCCTTGCTGGAGCCTGCCGATGCGCGGTATTGCTCGCCATACGACACCCTCGAGCTCGATCGCTTTTGCGGCTTCGGCGCGGGCTTAGGGGTCGGTGATTTGATTGACGAGGCCCGCTTCATCATCCCATCGATGGCAGCCCCGGCCGCTTCGTCCTCCTCCCTGCTAGAGCCGGCCGCCGCACGGTACACTTCACCAGCCGACTTGCGAGGCACTGCAGCGTCAAGCGCGGCCACCGTGGCAGCGGCGGTAACGGTGGCAGCCTCGGCCACTTTCTCCAGCTTGCGCGACGAGGAGCGAGCGAGGACGCCGTCGACCGCGTCGCCGACCTCGTCGTCCTTGACGCCACCCGAGGCCGCGCGGTACACATCGCCGGCCGACTTGCGCGGCACCTTTGCGTCGAGAGCTGCGACGGCAGCTGCAGCTGTGGCGGCGGCGGCCTCCGCGAGCCTTTCGACCTTGCGCGAGGAGGAGCGCGCTAGTACCGCGTCAACAGCTGTACCGGCGTCCGATGGCTCGCCCGCCTCTGGCTCAGCCGGTGATGGCTCCGGCGCGGGCGGCGCAGGTAAGTCAAAGGAGCGGCCGCGGGATGCCCGCGTCGCAGGTCCGGCCACGGAGGCAGCGGCGGTAAGGAGCCGGGCGGTGGCACCCTCCTCCTTCAAGGGCGCCTCTGGCTCTGCGGCTGGCACTGCGGCTGGTTCCTCAACCGCTGCCTCGGGTGGATCAGCGACAAGAGCGGCCGAGCGGTAGACGGGGGCGGTGGTCTCGTCCTCCGCGCTGACGCATACGATCGTCGTACCCGCCGGGTGGCTGCCGCTCAAAGGAGTCGCCAGGTGGATGGAGCCAAAGCCAGCGATCGTGTGTGTCTCCGCGTTGGCCCCCTCGCCGATGCGGACGACGTCACCGACCGCGAAGCCGCCCTGGCCGCTAGTTTGCAGGACCGTCTCGCCCGATTCGGCAGGCTCCATCAGCGTAGTTGACAGGGGCGGTGGAGGCACCCCCGATGCTTCCGCCACCTCAATGTCACCCACCGCCTGGCGGTACTGCTCGCCATATGACATTCTCGACGGCTTTGGCGCCTTTGGCGCCGCGGGCTTCGGGGTCGGCGACTTTATCGAGGAGGCACGCTTCAGCATCCCGTCGATGGCAGCCCCGGCGGCCTCGTCCTCGGTGCCCGCCGCTGCGCGGTACTGATCGCCGGCCGACTTGCGCGGCACAACAGCGCTGATCGCCGCCGCCGCCGCCGATGCCTTGGCGGCCGCCGCCTCTGCAAGCTTCTCCGCCTTGCGCGACGAGGAGCGTGCCAAAACCCCATCGATCGCGGTGCCGGCCTCATCCTCCTCGCTGCCGCCGGCAGCCTCACGGTAGAGCTCGCCGGCCGACTTGCGCGGCACCTTTGCATCGAGTGCTGCGACGGTGGCTGCGGCGGTGGCAGCTGCGGCCTCCGCGAGCTTCTCGACCTTGCGCGAGGAGGAGCGCGCCAGAACTGTGTTTACGGCCACGCCCGGCAGATTCTCTGCCACCAAAGACGCGCCCGCCTCGAACTCCTCTCTCGGAAGTTGCCCTGTTATCGCCTTGGCGGTCACCTCATCCGCAAAGGCGGCGCCCGTGTCCTCGGGGAATGACTCGATCAGGGAGACCCCTCGGCCCGAGGCTGCCTGCTGCGACTCTCTCTCGGAGGCGCGGTAGATGTCGACGTACGCACCGCGCGGGCCGAAGCTCGTCCGCTTCTCAGCAGGCTTGCGCGGCTTCGGTTCTGAATCCACACGCGCAAGCATGCCATCGAGAGCGGCGCCTGCCACCTCTTCCTCCTTGCTGCGGCTGGCGATGTCACGGAACTGGTCGCCGGCCGACTTGCGCGGCACCTTTGCGTCGATCGCGGCGACGCCGGCTGCCACGGTGGCGGCGGCGGCCTCCGCGAGCTTCTCGACCTTGCGCGAGGAGGAGCGCGCCAGCACCGCGTCCACGGCGGTGCCAGCCTCTGCAGCAGGCTCCTCGGCCGGCGTCTCGGCCGGCGCCTCGGCGACGAAGACGAGGTGGCCTCCATCCGAGCCGCGCGCGACGACAACATCTACTACACCTTGCGCGGCGGCAAAATCTCTGAGTTCTACCCCAAGGGCGTCAGCCTCCCCACTTCTGAGTCTCTTCCAACACCGGAGTCAGTCATCGATGGCACTTGCAAATCAGGAAGCCCGTATGCGCGGGCGCTTGCTGCCATCGAGACTATCTGGAACTGGTTCGATCTGCAGAAGGAGTGGCGCGCCCTTGACGACTACACAGCAGCCAACTGGCAGCCCGGCGACACCAAGATACGTTACCGTGAGTCCATCCGCTACGTCTCAACTTCGCAGCCTTACGCGGGGCGGTGGCTCGACACCAAACTTGACGGCAGCAACGCCACAACCATTCCAGACGACATATTCATCGGCGAACTTCAGCGCCGAAACGGTCTTCACCTCTCGCAGTGCCGCTCGACTGTCACGCGGGCACTCGAGCTTGGGGACACAGTCGGTGGTGCAAAGGACTACCATGGCGACTGGTTCCTCAACAACGCCGCCCGGCGGCGCCCACACGACGGCGTACTTCGCGCCTGGTACGATTGTGTCGCCGCCGTCTCCATCTCCCGGCCCGTTATGGGAGATGCCGAAAAACCTGAGCTCACCAAACAGTTCAACGAGGGCTACAAAACCGACCTGGCTGAGCCGGGCGCGGCTCCCGGGGGCAAAGACGAGATCAGTGAGGTCAAACTTTGGACCCCCCTCCGGGGTGGCTTGCCTGTTGGGGTCGGCCGCGCCGACACCGGAGGCAACCCCGGCTCCGTTGGAGACAAGTTCGCCTTCGGCAACACCGAAGAGCGCGCCCGCCTTGCAAACATGGGCTGCAAGCAACGCGGGTTCCGTGGTCAACGGGCGTTCGACCACACCACCGGCCAAGGCTACGTCAAGTCACAGCGTGGCCACTACCATGATGGGATCTTCGGCAAACGAAACAAGTTCAACCTGCTTCTCCACGAGACATTCGGCGGCGGCTTCTCGCCGCCTGCAGTTGCAAAGATCAACTGCCTTGCGCGCAAGGCTCAGCGCTCGGGCGTTGACCGCACCGCGTACCCTCCCCACTCCCGCCTCTCATTTGTGTCACACCACGCGGAACGCATCTCCATCGCTTCGGTGAAGGGGGTGAACCGTGCCATCCTCGATCGCCGTGCTAAGCTCGCTTCCGAGCTCTCACGCCGCGCGTAGGGCCCCTAGGGGCCTAGAGAACACAACCCCCTCTCTCTTTTCTCCCAGTAAGCTAAAAATACGTACGTACAAGAGAGAGAGAGAGACTGCAGTTGCAAAGATCAACCGCCTTGCGCGCAAGGCTCAACGCTCGGGCGTTGACCGCACCGCGTACCCTCCCCACTCCCGCCTCTCATTTGTGTCACACCACGCGGAACGCATCTCCATCGCTTCGGTGAAGGGGGTGAACCGTGCCATCCTCGATCGCCGTGCTAAGCTCGCTTCCGAGCTCTCACGCCGCGCGTAGGGCCCCTAGGGGCCTAGAGAACACAACCCCCTCTCTCTTTTCTCCCAGTAAGCTAAAAGTACGTACAAGAGGAACTCGTTCAGCTGATAAAGCGTACGCGATTTCACAAATGTCTGCTTCAACAACGACAACTCGCCACTGCCAATAACATCCGCCGACGAGACGTCGTCCGTCACGCTCGTCAACCAGCGCAGCAAGGCAGCGTGCGTCGCGGGCCAGTCGTTCGGCTGCGACGGCAGCGGGCGCGTGTGGGCGACGCAGTGCCGAGGCTTCTTCCGCTGCGGGGGCGAGAACGACGCGCGCTTCGGGTGCGGTTTCCCGGCGGGGCAGGCGTACTACACGTGCCAGTGTGCCGCACGCGCGCGCCGCGGGCGCAGGCGGGCCGTCACGCATCGCCACGGTGCGTGCGCCGTGACGTTGCTGGAGCAGCACTCCCACGCGGAGTGCGTGCCGGGCACGACATTCGGCTGCGATGAATCGGACGCGTCCGGGCGAAGCGTGTGGGTGCAAGGCTGCCGCGGCGTGTTTCGATGCACCGGCGACGCCTCCTTCCACTGCGGCTGGCCGCCTTCTCCCGATGCGAAGCGCCGCTTCTCGTGCAGCTGCGACCGGCGCGACGAGGTGCTACCGGGGTGCACGACGAGCGCGTGCCTCCGGCTGAGAGCGACGGTCAGCATCGATGCCGACCTCCCGGCATCGGCGGCGCTCGTCGTCGTCGGCGCGCACCATTTCGGCGGCGACGCGAACGACCCGGTCTACGAGGCGGTGCGTCCCGTCGCGTGGTCGAGCGTGCTCCTCGTCGAGGCGAGCCCGCTCGTCTTCCGCTCGCTCCAGGCGCGCGTAGCGGCGGCCCGACGCCACGGGTCGCGCGCGATCGGCTCCGGCTGGTCAACGAGGGCGTCTGCCCCCACGCCGCCGGGCGGCGGCTGCTCCCGTTCTACTCGATGCCGCAGCTCGGCGGTCTGCCGGCGTGGGCGTCCCAGATCGGCTCGTTCGACGCCGCCCACCTCGAGGGGCACTTCCCGCGGCTGGCGCAGCTCAGCGCGAGCGCAACCACCGGCGGCGCCGGCTACAGCGTCTCGCGACTGCGGGCGAGCGTCCAAGTCTCAAACGTGAGCTGCGGCTCGCTGCTCGACCTGCTGCGCGGGCAGCGCCTGCCGCGGCCGGGCCTCCTGATGATCGACACCGAGGGGCTCGACTGCGAGATCGTCGCCTCGCAAGACTGGGCGTCGGCGGCGTGGTGCGAGCTGAGCCCGACGGTGCTGCTCTTCGAGTGGAAGCACTGCACCGAGGCCTCGTACAAACTGGCGCGGCGCGCCCTCGAGCGCAGCGAGTGCCGTGGGTCGCGTCCGCTGCCGCCGTACCGTCTCGTCGTCGAGGACAGCGAGAACACGATCTTCACGCGGCGGCCGCGCGAGTTTTGGAGGGAGGAGATGGCGAGGCAAGGGGCGCAAGCATAGCGTGATTTCTCTCTCGGTCGCTCAATTTCAGTACGGTAGGTAGACGGCACATGCGGCTCGAGGCAGTAGGCCAGCTGTGGGTACATTTTCACACGGGGCTAGTTGCACCGGTGGGCGGCCGGAATGGTACTCAATACGCATTTTTTCTTTTTCTCGCGATATATACATATATGACCTGGCCACCAGTGGCCACACACACGGCGCCGCTCGAGCGCCGCCTCGCCGCCGCCGCCGCCGCCGCGCACTGTCCCCTCCTCGACCTCCCCACGGACCTCCTCGTGCGCGTCCTCTCTCGCTGCGACCCCGCCGACATCGCTCGCGTCGCGGCCGTCTCGCTCCTCTTCTTCGCCTCGCTCGCGGAGGAGGGCATCCGCTTGTGGGCGCAAGAGCGCCCGCGGCTACGAGCTGCCGGCGCAGCCAGAGGACGAGAGCTGCGCCGTGCGGTGGCTGTGCTTCGCTGCGCTGCTGCGCGAGTCCAACCCGCCGGCGAGGGTGGCCGCAGGCGAACTTCACAGCCTCTTCATTGACGGCGAGGGGCGGCTCTGGTCGTGCGGCTCGGCGCCGTCCTACCTTCCTCCTCAGCCAGGGCTGCTCGGGCACGGCGAGGGCGTGACGCAGCTCAACACGCCGACCCGCCTCCCGTCGACACTGGGTGCGCGCGCCGTGAGCGTGGAGGGAGGCGCGGTGTGGCGGTGGGGGCGCAGCCGAGCCAGACACCAGCCGGCGCAGCGTCGTCAGCGTCTCGCGCGCGCGGTGTGCGGCGTGGCCGCCAGGACGACGCCGAGGAGGAGGAGCAGGGGCGGCAGCAGCAGCAGTCCGGCGACCAGCGCAGGGACGGCAAGCAGAGCGCCTCCGAGCAAAGCCAGGGCCCGTCTCCAGAGGCGTAGGGCGGACAGCCCGCCGCCCGCGCCGCCCGCGCCCGTCCCCGGTGCGAGCAGCCCGCTCAGCGGCAGCGGCGTGGCGGCGCAGCCGCCCGCGAGTGCCGGCGCCGCCGGAAGGTTGGCTACGAGCAGCGAGAGCGCCTCCCACGCCGCCGATAGCTGGAGCAGCCCCGCCGCCGCCGCCGCGCGCGCGTTGTGCGCGGCGAGCCTGCGCGCTGAATACGCCAACCTCAGGGCGGGAAGGCGGTCTGTGCAGAGTCTTCCGACGGCGGGAAGCACGCACAGCCTCGCCCTGACCGCCGACGGCGCTGTCTGGAGTTGGGGCGATGGTTGCTTTGGTCGCTTGGGCCACGGCGACGGGCAGAGCCAGCTCCTGCCGAAGAAGGTGGCGGCGTTGGCTAACCAGCGTGTCGTCGCTGTGTTGGCTGGAGGCGGGCACAACCTCGCCCTCACCGCCGACGGCGCTGTCTGGAGCTGGGGCTCGGGAAGCCAAGGCCAGTTGGGCCACGGCGACCAGCAGGGCCAGCTACTGCCGAAGAAGATCGAGGCCTTTGCTGGCCAACGCGTCGTCGCTGTGTCCGCTGGGGTCTTCTACAGCCTCGCCCTCACCGCCGACGGCGCTGTCTGGAGCTGGGGCGATGGAGGCTACGCCCAGCTGGGCCACGGCGACGAGCAGAACCAGCAGTGGCTGCCCAAGAAGATCGAGGGCTTGGCTGGCCAGCGCGTCGTCGCCGTGTCGGCAGCACACTACTGCCCTCGCCGTCACCGCCGACGGCACCGTCTGGAGCTGGGGCCGCGGGGCCGAGGGCCAGCTAGTGCTAGTTGCTGCGTATTTACCTGTCTTGTGTGTGTGTGCGTCACGCAGGAAAGCAGGATTGTTGAATCATGACAGTGGACAAAGCAGCTACCAAGATCCAGGCGCTGGCGCGTGGCAACTCGGGTCGTGCTCTGAATATCGAGAAGGTCGACTGGCCGGAGTTCGAAAAGAAGGCGAAGGAACTTCTCGGCGTTGAAAATATCGACAAAGTCAAAGACGCGAACCTGGAAATTCTTGTGAAGGAGGGCATATGCTCAAGCGCCGTGCTCCAGCGGTACAAAGCCCGTCGCGATGCAAGCATTTCGGCTGGGAATGACGAAAGACAACAGAAGTTAAGAGAGAAAAAGCTTCCGCTTCCCGAGTTGCCAAAGGGGATGGAGCTATCGATGGACAATTTTACCGCTTTCGAGGCTACGGCTAAGGAAACGTTACGGGAAGTGAGCCTTCCAGAAGACAAGACACAAGCCCACTCGATAAAGTTTGACGAGCTCACTGGTGCACACTGGATGTCAGTGGCATGTAATTGCCTCATTTTCAAGGGCCGCACCCTCAAAGACTTCAACTCGAATGGTGGTGATGCTGCTGTGGAGCCTCTCTTCACGGTCCCCAACGTGTACTTCAATGACAATCACATCTTCCAGCCTGCTCAGATTTCGCTGATAGCTTTCACGAGTGCTACTACAGAATCACGGCACGTGGACCGCGCTGCAATGATGGGCGTGGAAGCGTCCGCCTCCGTTCAGTCGCCGTGGATCTCTGGATCGGCATCATTCGGCGCGAACTGCAGCAACAAGAAGTTGGAGAAGGGTGAGTCGGTGACGACTACCGCTACATATGTCTTTCCGGTCGGGTACTTCAACCTGCCAACAGATTATCACCATGCGCAGAAATTCCCTATCAAGATCAACCCGCAATTTGAGAGCGACGTCTGCGAAATGCTCGATCGGAAGTTGAAGGGCGACGCTCTCAGGAAGGCAATCCAGGCAAAGTACGGCGATTTTGTTGCGCTGAAACCGTTGGTTGGGCTTGCTGCGTATACCAAAGAAACAAAGGAGACATCAAAGGTCCAAGATTTGGCTGCTGCTGCGCGTCACTTTGAAGCGGCCGTAGCGGGGTCGTTTGCATCAGCAAGTGCAGCTGGGAAGGAGAAGTCGAAGGCTGAGACGGGAATCGGCACCAGCAAATCGACGTACCGATTCACATCGATTGCGGGCAACCTGCCCAATCCGAACATACCTGGAAGCCTCGCCAACGAGCGCCGTGTGCCGAATGCTTGGCGCCTCGTCCACATGGGAGACCGGCTCAAGCCGGTGGTCGACTTTCTCTCTCCTACTACCCGAGCGCGTTTGGACAAGGCGGCGCCTACGCAGGAAAAGGTCCCGGCGGAGGCGGCGTCCAAGTTACCACCGTGGGCGTTTGAGGGCGCAGTCGTGAAATGTGGCGATGCGATCTACAAGATTGAGAAAGGGAAAATGCGCCACTACGACTGCTGGGGAAATTATTGCAGTTGGGGCCAGCCAAAGTTGAACTACGAAGGTAACGAAGTTGGTGCGATTCCTAATGGGCTGCCCATGCCTTGGAAAGATGGAGCAATCGTGAAAAGTGGCAATCCGATCTACATGATTAAGCAGAATAAGAAATGCCATTTTCCTTCCTGGGACATCTATGCAAGTTATGGACTTGGTCATGGCTCATGGGTCTACGACGGACCAGATGTTGCAAGGTTGGCTGACGGGACACCTATGCCAAAGAAGTAAGATTGGACTGCTCACGGTGATCATCGCAACGATGAACGATTTTTCGAGCTGGGCGATGGTAGTTCGCGACATCAACGATTGGGCGGGTGTGTGGCAAATCGCAGCTGGAGCTGCAGGGTGCTAGAGACCATCTCAGCCCGAGTTGCGGCGTCGACGAGAAGCAGTGATAGAGTGAAGCCCTGCGCGGACACATGCGTGGGGTGGACCCTGCTTCGCCTTCGGTTGCACCGTAATCCGCATCGATCTACTGTACAGTGCGAGGCGTGGCGATAGAAATCGGGGCGTCGGCATCCAGCAGCCGATTTCTGTTTCGGCGAGGGAAATCGGGCGAGCCAGCAGCCGATTTCTATAAGCGATTTCTGCCAAAATTTTCTTCGGCGCTGCGCGCCGGTCACTATACGGTCTAGATACTAGTACACTAAAAGGTTGCACTGAGATACGAATTCAATCCTCCCGCTTAACCGTCCCTGAACCCACTAAATTGCGTCTGTACCCACGCGGCAAACATTCATTCATTTATTTCGTGTGTGCGTGCTCGCTCGTGCGCCGAACCAAGTTCTGCTTCAACAAACCCGTCGAGAGGCCACGTCACGCCGGTGTCCCCTTTTTCTGCATCTTTGTGGGTGTGGCAGCCCACTTTGCCAGTCCCTAGAGGTGTCTTTGACATTTGACTTCGATGTCTGGTGGGGGACGATTTATGTCTGGTGGGGGACGCAGGTGCTCAAAGGTTGCGGGCGTGTCACCACTCGCGCCTTCGCTCCCGACACTGGGTTATGCAACGACATGCCGAAAAGGGAGCGATCCGCGGCGCAGGCACGCGCTGAGGCCGTGTATAGACGCGCCAATCCGGATGATAGGGGCGATCGGGGCCGTGACCGCAGGGCCGAGAAGGTCGAGTACAGACGCAGACTCAAGAAAACGAGAGCGGAGGCCGCCGCCCTCGCGGTGCCTGACGCTGCTCCTGCGGCTCTCGTTCCCGTCCCGATTCCGTCTACCGTCCCTCGGCCACGGGCCCTCGGCCAGCACGGCAGGGGCCACCTGCTCGTCGCGAGGCAGCCGAG